GAAAACTTGGAAATCTTGAAAATTGACGGTCCAAAAATGCGTTAAAAAATATACTATTTTCAAAACTTGAAATCTATTTTTTTCTCATGTCCATGCATCTTGATGTAGAGATGATCGATTTGAGGATATTTGGGCATCAAAACAATCTCTTCTAGTAAAATTTTTGAGGTAGGCTTTAATTTGATTGTTTGGAGCCTACGCTCTATATAAACTCTTCCCTATTTTATTTCCTTTATTTTGTACAAGGTGATCTTTTGTTGATCATGGTTGTATTACGAATAGTTTCATTTTTTTTTTCTCGCTTTTTTTTTTTTTTTTCTTTTTATATCACACAAATTGCGTACATTTATGGAATTTTGTACCGCAAATGGAATACAAAAAAAATATAGATTTCTCACGTGGTATCAGAGCCAGGTATGTAATCCCATCTACTTCAGTTGGATCTCTAAATTCGTATCTTTTGAATCTACCTAGCTAACTAAAAGTTCCAATTGAAACAGCCCTGTAAAATCGACCATCGACCGATTTGAGATCTTATTACAAATCTAACCTCTGCACTCATTTTCGGGATAGATTTGGTGTTTCTGCTAACAATCTCTATCCCTCGCAGTTGTTTGACCCCTTTACGTAGATTGGGATTACTCTCTCTCTTTTGTTGGCTTCCTTAAGAACAAGCTGGTGCCAAAGAGCTAGGAATTTTGGGCCTTAGGAGCTATGAACAAGCTGGTGCCTTAGGAGTAGAGTCTGAGGCGTCTTTTGGGCCTTAGGGACCTTGGGTCTCTTTAAAGTTTAGTTATGGCGTCTTTGGGGGTTTTCTTTGCAGGGGCTTCTTTATTGGGAAAACTTTCCATGTGAACCCACTCACATGTATAGTATATGTGATCCCCTATCTCGGCCATCAAATCTGACTAGATGGTTGAGATGGCTTGAATCACCATGTCACAAGCGTACTCTTGAACGTTAGAACTTGATTCGATGGTTCAAAGTATTTTATTTTAGTTTTCATTCTATAGTCTGTACATCATTTTGCAGTGAAATTTGGGACACATATTAGAGCCTACCTTTAATTAGTGTCGAGAAATATGGTTCCAATATTGGAAATCTTTGTGATAGCTTTAAAATATATTTCATCTTATTTATAAATTTTAAAGCTTCAAAAATTGTGCAGATCGACAGATCTATAAAAACTTAAAAATATTGAAAATTAACGATCAAAAAATGTATTATAAAATACATTATTTCCAAACCTTAAAATCAATTTTTTCTCATGTCCATGCATCTTGATGTCGAGATGATCAATTTGAGGATTTTTAGGCATCAAAACAGTCTCATGTCGTGAAAGGCTCGAATATGATTGTTTAGAGCCTCGGCTCTATATAAATTTTTCCCTGAAAAAAGACCATAATACACTTAAAAAATTTAGGGGCATTTGTCATTTACTTTCATGAGATTCTTTTTTTTTTCTTTTTTAAGTATACTCCAAGAAGGAGATAGGATGTCCAAATTTAAGCCAAAAAGGTTTTGAAGAATGGAAACAAAAACAAAAAATCAGACCGTGTTTTGGTCAGACATTTTGATATGAGCAATCTTAACTATCGTTTCAAATCGAATCGATCACATATAATTTATATATGTGGTTCGGTGATACATAAAGTTTTTCCTTCTTAATTTGCATGCTCGGCAAACTTATAAAAGGCTTTCAACTTGGCAAGCTTCCCTTTAGCAATTTGGTTCTTGAGCTGAACGGCAAGCATTTACTTGATCTTCATGGAATAAAGTGGATGCGACACAGTGGTCTTCTCATTTGGGACCTTCGCCGCCTTCTCTTTCACAATTTTTTTTTTTTTTTTAGTAATTCAATGGGGAAGATAGGTGCCTTCTCTTTTTTTATAGGGTTTTGTTACGCTACACTACTTGTGGTGTATACTCTTAAAATGTGATATCACCCCGATGGTGCATTAATTATTTTTTAACTACTATAGAATGTCACTATTTATAGAAATATTTATTCTATTCCTCTAAATGACCAAAACTACCCCTGCTTGAAAAACTTTACATTACAATACAAAAGTATCGAAGTGTCCAAAAATGTTGAGGACTTCAAGAGTATACACCACAACTGGTGTAGTATAAATAAACCCTTTTTTATATAGACTATGGAGTTAGTTTTTTTGAAGGTGTAAGTGGGTGGTGTCAGTAGGATTGGAAACCACATGGTAGCTAAGTATGGAGGTGCTGCCACCGTGACACAACCCCTTTCCTGAAACAGACTTATCAATATTTCCTGCAACCTCCACACGTTCTTAAGAGGAAGTAAGCCATTTTAGCATAGGGCACAATATTTTCAACAAACGACATTTTGTACCTGAAAATTTAAGAAAGAGAAACAAATAAAAGTGCAAAAGTTTGTGAAAATTTTGGATGAAACTTCTAGAGAGCTTTTTTTGCTTGCACCTGTAACTATGTTAACCTTGGAGATTGCGACGGACCACATTTGCAAATTGGGAACGACCAATTTTCTCGTTAATAAAATATGTTTTCTTCATCTTTCACTCTTGAGCTTCGTGCTTGCATATACTCTAATTTTGTTGGGGGCACTTCTGATCAGAAGTCTAGTGCAGGTTTTATTTTATTTTTTGTGATAGTCTTTTTTTTAAAAAAAAGTAAAAAAGCAAAAACGTATTGCTCAGTCGGCAGCTGAAGCTGAGTATTGAGCCATAGCTCAAACAATAGCTGGGATTGTCTGGCTTTGCTGATTATTGTGAAACAAAATGAAAGGAAAATATGCAAGAAAAGGAAAGACACATCATCATTTGCAAGAAAAGGAAAGCCTTTATGATATCAAATGAAAAAGGAAATACAATATTATACATGCATACTTCCCCTCAAACTCGTGATGGTCGAATGCGAACCATTGAGAGGTTGGAGACAAGGTTTGAAAACCGATGAGCATTATGAGACTTCATAAAGGAGTAAGCAAGTTGTGCAAATGAGGAGATAGACGGAAGAGAGAGTGTACCAGCTGGATACTCTTGTCGAACAAAATGGCAGTTCACTTCAATATGCTTGGTACGCTCATGGAACTCAGGATTCTTAGTAATATAAATTGTAGTTTTGTTCTCACAATATAAAGGAGGCAAAGTAGAAAGTTCCACACCCAAGTCAACCAATAACCAATGAAGCTAAACAACCTCAGCGGTTGTTTGAGCCATGGCACAATACTCAGCTTCAGTTGTTGATTGAGCAATACGTTGTTGCTTCTTGGTCTTCCAAGAAAGAAGGGAGTCTCCAAGAAAAATACAAAAGCCTGTAGTAGACTTCTGATCTGAAATGGACCCCGCAAAATCAGAATCAGTGTAAGCACGAAGCTCAAGCGAAGAAGTCGAGGAAAATAACATAGCATGATCAAGAGTGTCCGGCCTAAATGAACAGCATAAGCAATGTCTGGCCGAGACATAGTCAAATAAATCAAACTGCCGACCAATTACCGATAAAATGTAGGATCAGAAAGAAGCTCATGATTAGTAGAACAAAGTTTTACATTCAAGTCAATAGGTGTGGCAACACGCTTAGTATCTAAACGAGCTCGAGAAATAATATTTGTAGCATACTTGAGTTGAGAAAGAAAATAATGTCGAGGTAAATAAGCAACTTTGAAGCCCAAAAAATACCTTAAGAATCCTAGATCTTTCATCTCAAAAAACTGATATAGTCGTTGCTTAATTCGATGAATTGTGTATTCATTGTCACCATAAATAATCATATCAAGAACATAGAGGAGGACAATTGCACGTCTTTTGGCTGTAACTAATATGAACATAGCAGGGTCATGATGGCTCCGTTGAAAACCGGCAGAAATAACAGCAACACAAAAAATTTTGAACCAAGCACGTGGATCCAGTTTAAGCCCATAAAGAGCACGTCGTAAACGACAGACTCAATTATTAGGATCTGAAACCCCAGGGGGTAGCTTTATATAAACTTCCTCTACAAGATCACCATTAAGAAATGCATTCTTGACATCAAGTTGATACAGAGGCCACTAGCAAAAGGCAGCCATAGAAATCATGATTAGAACTGTAGTCACGTAAGCGATAGGAATAAAAGTTTCAGAAAAATCAATTACAAATTGTTGATTATAACCTTTAGCCATAAGGCATACTTTATAATGCTCAATGCCACCATTAGCTTTCGTTTTGATCTTATAAACCCATCGACAACCAATGGCATTCTTACTATAGGGAAGAGGAACAAGGTCCCAAGCATGCATTTTATCAAGAGAAGGCCAATTCTTCAGCCATGACATGTTGCCATTTAGGCTGTTTTGCAACTTTTATTGTAGGTCTATGGCTCAGAGTAAGAATTAACGGAGGTAAAAAAAGTTCAATATTGAGGTAAGAAGGTTTTATTGTCCATGAAACGAATAGGTAAAACACAAACATGAGTACTACAACGAACTGAATGCATTTGCATAGGAGCAGCAGGTGCAGGTGCATGATTTGGTTCAATAGCAGTAGTTGAGTGTTCTACCATTGGACCATCTCTGGGTGGTGATGATGGAGACATTGAAGAACACTCATCAAAAAAAGGAATAAGAAAAGAGGTAGAAGAAGAATCAACAAAAGATGGAGTTGAATGAAAAGGAATGTGCTCAAAAAACACCACATGTTGAGAAACACGAAGTTTCTTAGTTTTTGGATCATAACACCTATATCATTTTTGGTAATCAGAATATCCCAAAAATCAACATTTGACTGCTTTGGCTGACAATTTATCCCTTTCAGAAGCTGGCAATAGTACAAATCATGTATAGCAAAAGACACGTAAAACAAAGTAATCTGGGGGTTTATAATTTCTCAAAAGGTGAATAGCCAGACAAAATAGCAGCAGGCATAATGTTAATTAAATAAATTGATGTGCGAACAACTTCAACCCATAAGCCTTTTGGAACTGAGGCTGACATGAGTAGAGCTCATACAGTTTCTAGAATGTGACAGTTTTGTGCTCGACAACACCATTCTGCTGAGGTGTATAGGGACAAGACTTATGATGCTAGACATTTTTATCAAAAACTTTTGAGATGTTCTACTTATGTATTATCCACCTGAATCAAATTGTACGACTTCGATTTTTGCAGAAAACTGAGTTTGAATGTAAGAATAAAACTAGACAAGGATGTCATACAACTCATTGCGGTTATCTATAAAGAAAACCCACGCGTATCTAATATGATCATTCATAAAGAAAATCCCCAAACATCGGTGTGTACGAGATCAAATATAGATGTAAAAATAGAATTACTATGATTAAATGGCAATTGATGCATTTTGGAGAGTTTACAAGACTCACAATCTTTAACAGTAGACAGAGTTTTAGATGGGATAGAATCAATAACACCATTGGAAAATAAGAACTGCAAATGAGAACTAGAAATATACCCAAGCGCTGATGCCATCAAGATCCTTTATCAACTACTGCAGCACAAGCAGAGGTTTCAATAGGAATCTTCTAATGAAGATGGTCCAAATAGTAGAGGTCGCCAACTTTATGCCTAGTCCCAATCATTGTCCCTGACTACCGGTCCTGCACATAACATTCAAAGGGAGAGAAAATCACATTACAATTGGATCAGGTCAGAGGTTGTAGTAATAGAGCCAACCATAGAAACTTTCTTAGTGGAGGGAGAGAAAATCACATTACAATTGGATCGGGTCAAAGGTTGTAGTAATAGAGCCAACCACGGAAACTTTCATAGTGGCTCCATCAACAGTATAATATCATAACATGGTTTACAATCAACAATAATAGACTCATTGCCGTCATACAACGGGAGGCACTAGAGTGTATTAACCAGGAAGCTGAAGTGGTTTTACCTGAAAAAGCAGAACCATATATGTTTGACACTTGGATTTCTGATAGCAATGACTAAAGATGTGCCATTGTAAGAGTAACTGATAATGACGTATTGTTGGAAATGTGACCTATCAGGCCATTTTTCTCCTGGAAATTCATTTTTCTAATAATGGTACAAAAGCCATATTGAAGTATATATGAAATCCCATGTGGTTAACATGAGGCAATGCCATATACATTTATCTATTCTTTAGCATTAATAGGATGTATCACTGGAGGGAAAACCCCAATATTATTGGAGGGAAAACCTAATGGTGTGTTTGGATTCCTTGTAAATTGTGGGAATGCTTAGATGATATCCTATGATATGAGTCATTAGTGGACTAATGATAGGTTTAACTCATTACATAGGATTAACAGTTTGGTAATAACTTGTTAATCATAATTAGCTGCACTTAAGGGAATTAAGGCAGGAGTTACACTTGGATCTCAACTCCTATAGACCATGAATGTGAGAGCTACTAAATAAAAGTGTTCTCTATAAAAAGAGGTTAACCCCTCTAGAAAAGATAGAGAATGATAAAAAAGAGGTGAATGAGATTCACCAGAGATAGCTCTCAAGGTTGTCTGTTACTGGATGGCTTGGTCTATAGGATTTTGTATGGAACCTTAAGTCCCTTGTGTGATTTAATAATAGATCCGAGTAAATAGTTTATCGATTTCATTTTTATTTATTTGTTATTATTTTTATTGGGACTAACATTGATATCAGAGCAAGGTTTGTAGATTTATGTTTGTAAAAAAGGATATCCTGGTAGAAAATAGGTCTACATTAATAATGTGGGATGTGTCCTAACAACAGTTAAATTATGTTTTATGGATACGAGCCACTGATGCATTCTTACCCAATGCATTATCTGTGGTTTTTTTGTATTATTTTTTACTTACCTTAACAAAACCATGATTGAACGACTGTTAGAGATATCATACAATATTCATATATATTTATTTCCTATGTGATTACTCTTGAATAAATTAGAAATAGACTTATGTGTGAACTTATGATTATGCATACTGCTTAATAGCTAAGTGGGAATTGAGTTCTTGACTTTGAACTATCAATCTGAAGATCATTTCCATAAAACAAAGGTAGTTATATATGCCAGGGAACAATGCTTACAGTCAATACACTTTTAGGACCCTGTTAATTCAAGTTATAAAGCCCGATCTTTCTTACCTTCAATGTAATCCAGTTGTTCATATATATATAAATAAGACATGCAACTAACATTAACAATTCCTTCTCTCTACCTATTAGAAAAAGAAAAATGAATCCATTATTTCTTCTATAGGGGTCCTTTGGTTATTCCAATCATATATGAGTAGTGAAGGATGCCGATAATATAAATCAAGTATCGAACACAACAATCCTTCCAGCCTATCATCTTTACATGCTTTCGGAGTATTTTATGAACTGGATTTTTGAAGAATATTATGATGATTAATTTTTCCAAATTCTATTATAAAGCATTTGTGGTAAGTTCTTTATTGCATTAAATTAGAATTTGACAAGTTTCAATTATAAAGTTTTTGTGATAAGTTCTTTATTGCCTTAAATTAGAATTTGACAGGTTTCAATTACAAAGCTTTTGTGATAAGTTCTTTATTACCTTAAATTAGAATTTGGCAAGTTCTAATTATAAAGCATTTACAGTAAGTTATTTATTTCGTTAAATTAGAATTTGGCAGGTTTCAATTATAAAGTATTTGTGGTAAGTTCTTTATTGCCTTAAATTATAATTTGACAGGTTTTAATTACAAAGCTTTTGTGATAAGTTCTTTATTGCCTTAAATTAGAAATTTGTTGACATTCTATTTTATCTTAACAGCATGAAATGAATGCAAATCAATGTGCAGTCGTATTTTGAAATTTAAGTTACTTTCCCTCTCTCTAACCAAGGATAAGCAAGTCTCTATCTCTCACTCTTCATTACTTTAAAAATAAATAAATTATAGAAAAATATTGGAAGATATTCCTATTTATTTCCAACAAGGGCCTCTAGCAATTATACATATTATGATGAGACATATATTGATTATCAATTTTATTTAAAGAAATACTTGATTTGAAAATTTTCATGGTGATCAATGATTATGAATATTTCAAGTTCAACAATATATGAATATTTGAGCTAGAATTTTTTTCTTGCTTTCTACAAACATTAAGAATAATTTGTTTAGATTGATAATGTTGTTTATTGTTTTTAACCAAGTTGTGACTTACTTTTCAATATTTTTTTTTGCTTAGTATTCTTTCGTTTATTTAGAAAATTAAATTTGTACCCATAAGGATGTGATGTTGAGCTATTATTTTTCAATGAGATGTAATTATCATTGACATCTTAACAAGTTTTGTGTATGTCCAAATGACATTAAAAATATTTAATGATCTATCATGTTAGATTGAATTATCATATTGGTGATAGATGTCCATTAGATAATGGGAGTAAATCATCGTTTACCAAAATGGAATTGAATTTGTTAGCTCTATAATTTATAAATGCATATTAAGAAAGTGAGAGCAATTACTGATCTAGCATGCTAGACTATATTGGACTAATTTTTATTATTATGATGACAATCACATATTGAGAATAGTGGGCGCCATTATTGAATAGTTTGATAACATCATCGATTTGAAATTTATTGAACATGTCAAAAGGAAATGATATTCTATTTATTTTATTTTATTATTATTAAGGTTGAAACCACTTAAAGATTTCGTTATGTATATAATAATTCCAACAACTTTGTCAAATTATTATTGTTTTTATTATTTTGACCTATGATATGAATCTGAGCTTTGGACTTAAAAACCAGTTATGGACGACATGTTTAAGAAACAAGTGAAAGCAATAGGCCTTTTTCTCTTGGCTAAAAGATAAATGTAAATAAAATTCAACGTGTTGATGAATATCTGGTAATGTATATGAGCAATCTCATGCAAGTAGCATAAGACAATGTCATATATAAAACGATTGATGCCAAGAAATTAGAGTGTGATGTTTGACCACATTGGCAAGGTATATGTGAAATCCCATGTGGAAAGCATGAGGGAATACCATATACAAGGTTATTCAGGCTAAGAAATCTAAGTATGGTGTATGACCACATAGGTAAGGTATATGAGAAATCACATGTAGGTAGCATGAGGCAATGCTATATATAAAACCATTGAGGACAAGAAATAAAAGTGTGGTGTTTAACCATATTGACAGTGTATATGTGAAATCTCATGCAAGTAACATGAGGCAGTGCCATATACAAGATTATTGAGGCCAAAAAATCCAAGTGTGGTGTATGACCACATGGGTAAGGTATGTAAGAAATCTCATGCAGGTAACATGAGGCAACGCCATATACAATACCATTGAGGCCAAGAAATACAAGTGTATTGTTTGACCACATTAGCAGGGTATATGTGAAATCCCATGCAAATAGCATGAGGCTTTGTCATATACAAGGTTATTGAGGCTAAAAAATCTAAGTGTATTGTATGACCACTCTGGTAAGGTATAAGAGAAATCTCATGCAGGTAGCATGAGGCAATGCCATATATAAAACCATTAAGGCCAAGAAATCCGAGTGTGGTGTTTGACCACATTGGCAAGGTATATGTGAAATCCCTTGTGGAAAGCATGAGGCAATGGCATATACAAGGTTGTTGAGGCCAGGAAATTTGAATGTGGTGTACGACCACATTAGTAGGGTATATGTGAAATCCCATGCAATAAGCATGAGGCAATGTCATATATAAAGCCGTGGAGGCCAAGAAATCTAAAAGTGGTGTATAACTACACTGGCTGAGTATATGAAATTCCCATGTGGAAAGCATGAGGCAATGTCATATACAAGATGTTAAAGGGCCTTCAACCCAAGTGGGAGTTGTTGGAAATGTAGCCTATCAGGCTATTTTTCTCTCGAAAATTCATTTTTTCAATAATGGTCTAAAAGTCATATTGAAGTATATGTGAAATCCCATGTGGTTAAAATGAGGTAATGCCATACACATTAATCCATTTTTTAGCGTTAATAGGATGTATCATTGGAGGGAAAAACCTAGTATTACTAGAGGGAAAACCCAATGGTGTGTTTGGATTCCTTGTAAATTGTGGGAATGCTTGGATGACATCCTATTATATGAGTCATTAGTGGTTAATGACAGGTTTAGCTCATTAAATAGGATTAACAATTTGGTGACAACTTGTTAATCTTAATTAACTGCACTTAAGGGAATTAAGGCAGGAGTTACACTTGGATCTCAACTCCTATAGACCAGGAATGTGAGAGCTACTAAATAAATGTGTTCTCTATAAAAGGAGGTTAACCCTTCTAAAAAAGATAGAGAATGATAGAAAAGAGGTGAATGAGATTCACCAAAGATGGCTCTCAAGGTTGTTTGTCACCAGATGGCTTGGTCTATAGGATTTGGTATGGAACCTTAAGTCCCTCATGTGATTTAAGGATAGATCCGAGTAAATAGTTTATCGATTTCAATTTTATTTATTTGTTATTATTTTTATTGGGACTAACAGTATCACCAATAGCTTGTTGATATAGAATGCATCCCTCTAAGGGTTGACTGGACACTGCAGCAGCCACAACAACAGGTTTCTTCTTTTTTTTTGGGCATGTGAATTTCATATGTCCAAGTTCCTTACAATCATTGCATTTAACATAAGACATATCCTTATGAGATACATAAGAAGAACTCTGTTTAGGGTCTTTGTGTTTCATATTTCGAGTTGCAGTAAAAGTTTATTCTCCTATTGAAACAATGCTAAAAGACTTGATTTTAGTCTCTTCTGCAATCAACTCAGATAGTGTTTGAGTGAGAGTAGGTAGAATGACTCTATGCAGTATGGCATTCCTGACAGTTTCAAATTTAGACTGAAGTGCCATCAGGAATTCAATAACTCTAAACTCATTGCATGATTTTTGGACAATTTTTATACTTGGTCCATCAGGGATTTCGGGTTCCATAAGGGCCAGGGCATCCCAAAGCGCCTTCATGGTAGAAAAAAAGTTCTGAATGGATTGATCTCCTAGGCGAAATGAACAAAGTTCTTGAACTAACTGATATTTTCTTGCCCAATTAGTTTGATGATAAATTTTTCTAGAAAAGCCCATGCCTCTCGAGCATTATAAAAATCGCTCAAATTGACTCCAATATTGCTCTCTACATGTCCCACCAACCAGGCTATAATCCTAACATTATTGACTCCATATTCAACTAGTTTTTCTGGATAAGGTGCTAAAAGTCATTTTCCGTGGATCACGTTTCTCATAAAGGAGGCTAAAAAAATATAGCTATTTCCATTAGATTTAATCGACACAAGCTGAAAAGATTTAGATTTTTCCATTAGGACGAGCAAGGGAATTGCAACCTATAGTTGCAATCCCAAAAGAACACAATAGACAACAGAGTTCGGATATGGAAGAAGAGAAAAGTGGGTTTTAGTTTACATAGGCTTAGAGCAGGGTAACGCTATTTTATAACAAGATTTTGCTATAGGAAAGTTCAATGCTGAAATTTTGGTGGGTCGAAATTGAACTTCAAAGTTTTGACGAAATTTTATCTTCAGAGTGTGAAGACAACCAACCAAGTGAGGAGAATTGTTTTTGACATCTAAGGTGGGCTTAGTACTTTTAAAGGAGGAGGAGGTGGCTTTGGCCTCACCAAAAGAGAAAGGTAACCAATAACCAAAAATTTTCTGCAACACAACCCACAAGTACCAACGATCCAGAAAAATAGAGTCAAATGAACTAGAACAAAGACACAGCAAACAACTAACCTCACCGGAAAGCTTTCAACTGCCTGCCGGATTATCAAGAACTAATCTTCCACCTTGCCAGAAAACTGTCGGTACCCCAAGACAAGACAACAAGAAAATAGTTGGCAACCTGCCGGATCCTAACAATACGACCAGAAACTCGCCCAAAAACTATCGCCAAATTGCCAGAAAACTGTGGCCCCCTTATGGCCAGAAATCGAGCGCCCTATTCTCTCTCTAAAAAAGAAATTTCCCAATTGAGCAAGATCACATTGAAGGACCGAAGCCTCACTCGCTCTCATACTATGTGAGAGAAAAACTTATGTATATTTCAATATATCGATCATGGGAGAAGACCTCATATTTATACTATATTTAACAAGTTACATGTAATCATACAAAATAGAAGAAAAATATACAAGGAAAGAAAAAACATATCACAACCTGCATGATAGCCTTTATAATATTAAATGAAAAAATAATAATAATATTATACACACATTTATTAACTAACTTGGGTAGGAAGCTTTCTACTCGTACTCCCTCTATATTGTGATAATAAAAATGTAATTTATATTGATAAGAACCCAGAGTTCTATTTGCGCACCAAACATATTGAAGTAGATTTTCATTTTATTCGACATGAATATTAGCCTGGACAATCTCTCTTCTGTACATTTCATTTTCTGCACAGCTTGTAGACTTCTTTATGAAATCCCAAAATGCTCTTTATTTCTCGAGCATTATTTTCAAGTTCACATTAGTTTGCTTCCTACCATCACGAGTTTGAGGGTGAAATTGTGTATAATATTTTGTATATATTTCTTTTCTTTATTTTTATATAGGATGATCTTGATCATACAGGTTGTATTAGGATATTTTACTTCCTATTTTGCATATCACACACAAGCAGGGTATATATGTATATATGTGGGATTTTCTCCTTTGAATGAAATCCAAAAAAATATAGATATTCACACCTAGAACTTGTCTTTAACTGTCATGGGAAAGATGAGGGTGACCGTGGAATGGGAAGATTGTTGTTCTTATAAAATAAAGAGATGAGTTTACGGTTGTTATTTTTTTTTTTTTTTGCAACGCATATTCCACGGCCCAATATGAGAAAGAAATGTGAAAACAAACAAGTGGAAAAGTTTGCAATTATTTTGTAAAAATCAAAATGAGAATACAAATAGTTACTTTGTTGACGCTAACTTAGCAAAAACACCAACAAGAGGTGCACTGTTGTAGGTTGCAGGCTCTGCCTGATTGTAGTTACCCCTGGCATCTGTGTATTGATCATTTTCGTCAGGCCCTCCAACAATTGCTCCCTCGAGAACATTGGGGTTGGGATTATTGCTATTGAACCATGTGACGAACCCACCCTTACAGGTCACTGGTGTCCGGTCCTTCTTTATGGACACAATTGAAGCTGCCCTATGGTGGACCTCGGTGGGGTACGTACTCCCATAACCAACCATGTAGCTGATTGATTTAGGATTATTACCAAGAATATAGTCTATCTGCAATTCATACAAATGTTAATTGCTAGAAGAGGTTGTAACGGGTGTAAAAATCAAAAATTCGTTTAAACATTTTTTTAATAGGTAACTTAATCATCCAGTAAAAATAAATTTAAAATTTTAAAAATAGTATTTTGAAAGTTAGTGTCTTAAAATTTTATTTGTAGAGTATTGTTGTCTTTTAATAAAAATTTCAACTTTATTTCTTATAGATATGATAAAAAATACACTAAAAGAAACCTTATCTTTTAGTGATATTGACAAAAGTACTTTTCTTTGACAAGCAAAATATCACAAAAAAAAAAAATTTAAAAAAATAAACGACATATTTAGTAAATCCATGCTTCACAACTCATTCTATCATTAACTTTTGTAATTTAAATGGTTGTGAATTATAGATTATGTATATAGTGTGGTTCATATAAAATGTAAACTTTATACTTTATGCTATAGAAGTAATATGCACCTAAAAAATCCACATAAAAAAATATTTGGTACGGACATCGAATAAAGAAAAAAATGCACCAGGTTTCCTCTTGCAAAGCTAGGAAAACCAGAAAGCAAAAATGGGGCCAAATATACCTGATTTTTAGCAAAGTCTAGAACATGGGGGGCATCAACGGTTCCAGCGTCACAATTGAGCTTCTGATTGTTGAGGACCATCCATTTGGCATAAGCGGCAAGAAGGAAGGAGGTGGTGGCAATGTATTGCGTGTTATCCCATGGATCGAAGCGAAGGAGATGGCCGCCTGAAATTTTCTGTTTTTGGGTGTTCATTTGGATGCAAGAGCATGTAAAACTTTCAAACTGCTTCAGGTAACCCTTCGCCAGATCAATTTGGAGTCGACCAGACATCACATTCTAGAGAGAGAGAGAGAGATTGTATCAAGAACAATAGAAAGAAATTACCGAGATTCAATCTGGGCCGATCGGACATGTAGTTTTGAAATACAACTACATATTATAAAATCATTTACTTTTTTAGTATAAGGAGGGCATAATTACTATTGGCCATGAGATGTGAAATATAACAGCTTAATGTGTCACTCAATTTTGATTGATATTAAGATTTTCTAGTGTCAAAAGTAAATTGTCTCACCATACAAATTTTTTTATGAAATTATTGTAATGAAAATTTGGGTCTACACTCTTATCAATAGATCACACCAAAAAAATAAAAAATAATTCATTTCGAAAGCAAAGTGCTGCTAAAACATTCAAGAGTATTTTGGTTCTTTTTTTTTGCAAATTGTTATTTTATACTCTTTTAGGCACACCTCGTTAAGAAGAAAAAAATGTATACCGAAATTGTCATATCAATTGAATTTTCAAAAGGTTCCAAACACTAACATGCAAATGTAACTCCATTCGGCCTAAGGGTGGCAACTGGCACGGCTTGGACCGGGCCAGTCTTGCCCTCGTGCGGCCCTTGTCCCCATAGGGCCAACCCAAGCATGGGCATGACCCTATTAGGGACAAGCTGGATTAGGCTGGGCCAAAGGCAAATGAAGCAAAAATAAAAGAAAAACAAGAAATAAAAAAGAGAGCCAAGCTGCGGTGGCACTAGCCCCAAGCTAGTTCTGGCCAGGCCAGGCCGACCAACCCATTGCCGATCCTAATTCGGGTCAAATACAGTATGGAGGCTGTTGGGAGATATTAAATACACAAGCTGGCTAGAAAGATCGTTTTACCTTTTTCAATTTTTTTTTTTTTCTTTTTGTGTGTGTATGTATATGTATATATAGAAAGAGACCTTTCCCACGAGAGCTTGAACGCCAACAAACTTTTGTCCCCAATTGAGGAATGGCCCAACGGGCCCTGGGTTATTCCACGTATTCAGCGTATCTAAATATTTTTGATCTTGAGTGGCTTCCCATAGCCAAATAGCTGCCCATTGCAACTCATCCTGTAGGAAACGCCAATTAGAGAGAAAGAGCGAGTTAGAGAGAGTCTTGACAATTATAGAAATTAGATTTTGAGTTTTTTATTTTGTGGGATTATTATTATAGTGAGATTTGTTTTCTAAAAGACAATAATTGTAATTTTATAAATCTCTAACAAATCAGAATAATCCTTTATGAATGAGAAACTAATTTGCCTTTCATGGATGTAAGAACTATTGCCGAACCATGTATATATCTTGTTGATCTGTCTCTCTCATCACTATTTCTTTTATTGTAAATTCTACAAAAAGAGAGAGGGGGCTTTAAGAAATGAGAGGTTACGTCGTATCCATCACTCCCGTAGAAGTTCTGCACTTGAGGAATGCTGTCGGAATACTTCCCTTTGTAAGTAGTAGCAAATTGAAACAACTGCAAAATACGTCAGCACATTGCAACTCAATAATGAAGGGCCATATACCACAAAAATTGAAACTTTTGTTGGAGAAAATGGAGAGTATACTCTCTCTCAGTGGACGATAGATCCATGTTAGAACTGCCAAGGAATTGGCCTTAACCTTGCCATGGCCCTCCCAATGCCAGGGCCGTCCAAACACAATTTGGGGAAAAACAAAATAGCCTGCCCAGCTGTGGCTCGGCCCTTGGGTCACATCTTGTAGCCCAGGCCATAGTTTTTTAAAAATCAGTTATTTATGTATGGATCGTAAAATTTTAAGTAAAATACGAAATGCTTTACTTATAAGCAGAAATTATAAAGAAGATCGGTCAACCCATCTCATTTATTTTTTTTAAAATTTTCCAAAACAACTAAAAAAAAAATCAAAATTCCGGTTGATCGAGGGATACTTATGTAAAAAATAATAAATAAATAAAGGCGGGTTAACCGACCTTCTTTGTAATTTTTGCCTGCTAACGGAGCATTTTGTATTTAACCTAAAATTTTAAAGTCCATAGGTAAATCACTTTTTAAAAAACAAAGGTAAAATTTTAAAAAATATACTATGATCCATATGACCATGGAAACAACAATACCACAATGGTCATCATCGCCCTATAAATGCACACGATGGTGAAAAGAGGGACAAAAAGACTGTGAAATCCACTCTCCTTCCACCACTACCCAAACCCCATTGACGTCACAAAGAAATTATATAACCTTAAGATTACCACCATCAAGACACAACCTGTGTAGCCTCAGTCAGTAGAAGAGAGGCATAATCTTTGTCACTATCTTTGAAAGCCATTGCAGCTGCAGCTAAAGCAGCTGCAGTCTCTCCTGCAAGGTCGGAACCAGGGTGATCCTGATCAATGAAGTAGGTAGTCCTGGGTGTGTCCATGTCCTCTGGTCGCTCCCAGCACTGATGGTCGGAGTTCCCGTCGCCCACTTGAGCGTACAAGAAGTTGACATCTGAGTGGGCCTCCAACAAGTAGTCTGTGCCCCACCGTATGGCGTCTAAGGCATTCCAGAATTCGTTGGCAGCTTTCAACTCATCTGCAAATTCGACCACGCTCCAACTGAGCATGGTGATGGTGAAGGCCATGGGGAACCCAAATTTCACATTGTCGCCTGAGTCGAAGTAACCTTTGGTGAGATCGAGCTGTTGTGCCATAAATGTGCAGTTGTCAATCTCTTCTTTTCTTCTGATTCTAATGCTTTTGAGGTGAAGAAAAGTAGATTTTTTCGAAAGGACTGTATGCTATAAAACTATTTATCATTGTTACAATGAAATCATAATTACTTCTAGCCATACCACTTCAATATTGGTTGGCTTAGGGTATATCACGAAGTTAGAAATTTTTCTTTGAAGTTTGAGTTTAATCAATGACACACTCAACCGCTCTATTTGAAATCAGATATCAATCATTGTGACCGTGGTGTTTTTGTTTCTTTTCCTTTTTTTAAATGGAATATGAAAGTACAGGTGATGAGATGAAATAACAAGATATAAATAAATTAATGTGCCAAGACTTGCCTCCCCCCTTGAGATATGCATGCAATGGAAAAGAACAAAAAATACCGAAATGAAAAGGGAAAATTAAGAAAATTTTAGAAAAAAAAAAGAAAAAAAAAAAAAATTGTTGTATATACTGAGATCATTTATCTTTAGTACAAGGTCACAATCACTCATATTTATTAGATGTCAAATTGGATGGCTAAGGTCATGAACTGTAAGTATTTTCATGCGGGCTGGACCGCATTTCTACATATACGGTCCAGAAAGTGTAAAGCATTCATCTTAAAAATAGATCCAAGTAGGTGTTCCATCTAAAAACAATAGAAACTAACGGTCCAAATGTTTTCTTACTAGATTGTTATTTCCAGTTTAAAAATTTTAATTATTTTTTCATATTCATGATCTCCATGTTAGAGATTACATGTCCTTAAAAATTAAGTCCT